TCATTGATAGTGACAGTGAACTATCATTGTAGTATTTCTCAGAGGGAGTTTATGGATGGATCCCAAGGATCTTTAGGCATGTTCTTGGAGTCCTTAAATTAAGAAATGCTGGATTGGTGCAAGAGCTCTGGTGGTGCAGTGGTTAACCATTCAGCTGCTAACAAAAAGGCTGGTTATTCAAACTCACCAGCTACTCCCCAGGAGGAGGAGGAGACAGTCTTCTTCCATAAAGATTTACAGTCTTGAAAACCCAATGGGGCAGTTCTGCTCAGTCCTATAGGGTTGCTATGAGTCAGAATCAACTTGATGGCAGTGGGTTTTATTATTATTAATATTATTGGTGCAAATATAAATTATTTCATTATTTTCATGTTTTCCTTATTCTCATCCCCGTACTGCCTCCCTTCCCCCCCCCCAAAAAAAAAACAGCTAACAGTTGTACATACGTGTTTATAGACACAGGCAGGATTATAGGCTAGTCTAGCACTCCTCAAACTATTACTCAGAAAACTGCAAGATTTTAATACTGATGCTAAAAAAAACAGAGATTAACACTCAAATGAGTTTAATGCTCAGTTACTTTTAAAGAGGTACTTTTACTACAATCTTTATCAAACTGCTTAGTATGTTACATGATGTATACGGTAAATATTGAAGTAGCTGTAGTATACAGCCTTTACCAAAGTTACTTGTTAAAGAACCCCTATTTATCCAGAAGGAAACGTAAAGCTTTGTGTTTTGCACACAGTTTGGGAAAAACAAATCTTGACTGTGTTAAAATCATTGTGAACATGTTTGTATGTATCTGAGCCAGATGATTTTAAAATAAAGAGATACTGCGTTCTTTGGTAGTTTGTTTAGTTGTTTTTCCAAGTTGGATAATTCAGGAAAAACATGCTGATAGCTCTAAAAATACTTTAATAATCTCTGCTAAATTGTCAAATCTGTTTTCTAAAACTTTACTCTTAAAGAAATGGCCAACTTACTTGTAAATCTGGCTGTAAAAATATTCCTTTATTATTTTGTTGAAAGGTTATAACATTTTTTTTATCATTTTAGAGCAATATATTGAAACTGGACAGATATTAGCATTATGTGGTACATGAATTTTATTCTGGCTGATAATTCATCTTCCTTTAAAGCCTTCTAGCTAACAGTAAGATCTATTAAGTGGCATTTTTAATATTGATACATTTCAAAAGTGATGCAGTTAGTACATTCTTCTATAATAATATTTTTAAGCTTATTGTCAAATTCTTGTATACTTGGACACATGAGAACAACTATTAACCAGTTATTATAGGTTTTAGTTTTGTTAATGTGGAATTTATGCCATTTATTTTTATTCATTCATGTAGTAAAAGATATTTATAAAATACAATTTTAGAAATTCTCAGAACATCTCTGCAGAAGTGGTTAATTGTGTTAGTCCATTTTTCAGATAATGAAATTCAAACGCATTGGTTAAGGGGAATGTGCCGAAATGTATTGAAACATCTCACCACACTGGGGGTATAAAATCACAATGCCCAGGGTAGTGCTGCCTAGTTCATTTAGCCATAGCACGTCTGTAAACATCTGTAAAACAGGTGACCTCATGTCTGACATTTCTTTACAAAATAGACAGCCTTTGTGACTCTTATATTTTATTTGAAAACTTTAATTCTGGTGATAAATACCTTAATAACAGATAAGGTAAATAGTTGTTTAGGGAGGTAAATGATGCAAACTAATCAAAAAGAAATAAATAGAATTTAATCTTCCCTATAGTACAGTTGAACAAACTTTTTCAGTTTATTGTCTCATTAACTAATCCATGTAAAGAAATGTGCATTGTTAATTACATGTGACAGGTACACAACTGATACCCTTTTTTGGTTTGAATGTGACATGGTTGTCATTTGTTTGGACTCAAAGCAATACAACTAGGTAATTGATAACAGTGGGAAAGACTTGACTAAATTGTCTGATGTATTGCAGGGAAAATTAAGTGAAACTATTTTCTATGCATATGATATAGAAATATGAATATTTATGAAGTCTTTTGGATTTTTCTACACAAATAGCACACAAATAATTTCTCCTTATAGAAACATGGATAGTGTTTGCATTTTTCAGAAGCACAGAATTTCCCTTACCTTTTAGATTTCTTAATCTGACAGGTATTATGTGCTTTATAATTTTTTTCATATATCAATTTCTTCGTTAAGCGGTATTTTCCCATATGGCTCAGATACCCCAGCAGTATTCCCCATTAAGCAAGCAAGACCTAGAAGAGATAATGTCATTGCCCTACAGCCCTGCAGCCAACAGGGTCCTGTGATCTTAAAGAACCTTTTGGGAACTGGTGCGGGGAATACTCTGTGCCATACATTATCATTCAAAAGTTGAACTTCTGGCCTTGTTTTCTGGATTATCAGAGATTTCTGGGAAAATATTGTCAGTATAAAGCTGCTTTTAAAAATGAGATCCTTTGTGGGACCATCTCTTCATGTATGTTACATTCTGTCTGAAAAATAAGTCCCTGACTGTGCAGATCAGCATGTGAAAGAATAGTCTGCAACCTTACTGGGGTAGTATGAACAAAGCAGTGCTTCCCTCTCCTGACCAATTATTGATAACAGTACTTCTAATACAGTATGAGGGATTTTTTTATTTTTAGAGGGATTATTGGTCTTGGTTCTTTGTTTGTTTTGCTTTTACATAAAATATTAGTGAAAAGGTCATCTTTGAAATAGTATTTGACAAGCTTACTTACAAATATACTACAATATATGTGCTCATTGCAGCTTGTGACAGACTTCTGAGTACTGCACTTGATTGTGTGCTAAAATTATTCTCACTGAATACAAAGCTCTTCCCTTTATATATTTATGTATATTTTGAAACTTATGCTGTGTGACATAAAATTGTACCTGATTGTACCAAGAACTTACTATTCTAATAACTGAGATACAAAGAGGAAGAGCAGTTTCTTGATTTTGTTTAGTTCTTGACTTTATGTATGATTTCACAGTGTTCTTACATTTTATAGCCATAGCAGTCTGTAAGACAGATGGTAAAGAAGGTGTTAATTTAAAAAAAAAAAAAAAAGTTGCCCCCAGGGAGATTCTGACTCATGATGACCCCATGTGTTTCAGAGAAGAACTGTGTTCCATAGGGTTGTCAATGGCTGTGATCTTTCAGAAGTAGATTGCCAGGGCTTTCTCCGAAGACACCTCTGGGTGGGTTACAATTACCAGCCATTCAGTTAGTAGCAGAGCATGCTTAACTCTTTGCACTACCCGGGGGCTCTGGAGTGGAGTTACCAACCCCATTCTGCAGATGTAGACATGGCAACATATATTATGATTTGCCCAAGATCACATAGCCAGTAAACTCAAATGATGAAAGATACTCTTTGGATGTCAGTAACATTTAATGAAACGTCTTGTCCTCAAGCTTTGATAGTAATTATTAATCTTGTTTCATTAAGAAGAGTAAAGCTTAAAATATTTGTAAACTAGTCCTTAAACTCCTATCTTGAAAACATTTTTGTTATAGTGAACAAGTACCACTCTTAAAATTTGATGAAATTTTAGGAAAACAAAGGCAAACCAGAAAAAAAAAACAAAAGTCAGTAAATTGAACCACCATTTCGTAAGTAATTAACATACCCCCCAAGTTTAAGTGTATTTTTTTAATGGAGAGATCACAGTCCCACTTGCAGGAGTTGACTCACCTTTATATTGATGCTTTTTTCTTTTTCCGGAAATATAATAATACATGTTATGGTGTTTGTTGTTGTTATTATGTGCCGTCGAGTCAAACCCGACTCATAGCAACCCCTCCTTGGGTTTCCGAGGCAGTATCACTACGGAAGTAGGATTGCCCAACCTTCCTTCTGAGGAGTGGCTGGTGGGTTTGAACCGCCAGCCATCTGGTTAGCAGGAAAGTGTCTTAGCCACTATGCTATCAGAGCTCCCAGGTTTAGAAATGTGCAAAGAATACAAAGCAACCAAAATGAAGCTTCTACACTGAGATTTTCACGGATTCCACAGTAGACCCAATTTGTACATGCACACCTTTGGTTCTGTAAACTTTATTGGATTTCCTGTTTCAGCTACTTCATTTTCTAACTGAATCATAAAAAATCAAAATTTGTTTTTTTATCAGATGGTGTTATATAATGAAAATATTTTATTTAAAAAGTTTATTCTCTTCTTTGCATCGTTAAGATTTGATTCTCTTTCCTCATCTTTCAAAATAAATATTTGAACTTCCCAACTAATTTCTAAAGTACGTGTTTTACAAAAAAACATGGAGAGATTGTTATTTATTTGCACTGTATTGTACTAGGTGTTGGCTAAACATGATGAAACGTCCTCTGATGTTGTGAACAGTTAACTTTCTTTCATCTGCAAAAAATGTTTATACTCCAGGGAATATAAAATAAAGTTTTCATAAAAGAGCTAGAAATTAAACTTTTTCTAAATCATGTGTCATAATGTTTTTGTTTTTAAATATCACTGTAGAATTAAATGTTTTATTGCCAGTTTTTAAATTTGTAAACATTCAGTGTAAATTGTTTGCGTGGTCTGATATTTCTTTCTAAAATACTTGAAATAATATAATGGCTCAAAATTTGCTTGAGCATCTAGGGAGATAGAATCAGATCCTTTAACCTACTACCTGTTGAACATTTCAAGGTTTAAAGAGATTCATAATCTAGATTTGAACACCGAAGTTTAATGAATTGCAAAAAGATTTATATTTCCTTTTTTTTTTTTTTTTCCTGTACTTCTTTAGGCATGAAAAAGACTGTGGGTTTGGTAGGACAGAAGTAGTGAAAATTGGTGAAAGATAGCCTTACCTATTTTTATCTTGATGAAAATGTGTTTTAATATGTAGTCCCTGGAATTTAGCATTCAAGTATGTAGTGTTGTATAGTCAAGTTGTTTTTCGTAGTATAATCATGGTGTTTATCTGCAGTTTTGTTTTTTGTTTTTTAATGACCCTAGGTTCACGCAAAGAATCTGCTCCACAAGTTTTGCTCCCAGAAGAAGAGAAAATTATAGTAGAAGAAACTAAAAGTAATGGTCAGACAGTGATAGAAGAAAAGTAAGATATTTTCCAATGTTTTAAAGCAGGCATGCATTGTCTATATATAAAGTAGCAGCACTGGAGTCAGAAAAGTTCCTTGAGGGCTTGGATATGTCTTCAGGAACTTCATTTTTTTCCCTTCATAGATTGGATTTATCCTTGACTAGGATTTAACCTACCATATACAGAATTGAGTTGTTTTAAAATATATGAATTGAAAGACTATATTAAATAGGGCAGAGAACATTGTTTATTTCATTTAGCATTGTAGCATTAAGCTTTCTTTTGGTTAAAAGCTTCAGTGTACCTTCTTCATTATTTGTCCTTATTTATTAGTTTATTTCCTGTTTCAGGAGTCTTGTTGATACGGTATATGCATTAAAAGATGAGGTCCAAGAATTAAGACAGGTAAGTCGTAATTAGTTTTTTAATCTTTTTCTTTTCTTCTTTTTTTTTTAATGGAACAAAGGAAAACACTATATTAAAAATGAAGCAAAGAAAATACTAAAAGGAGATCATGTGTTTTAGAATTCCATCATGTAATACAAATGGTCTTCTATAACTCTGATAGGCCAGGAAATGAATTTTTTAAGTGACATGTTTAAACTCTTCATTTCTGGTGTCATATACCATCTTACATTATTTTGGAATAATAATTTAAATTATCTGAAATTCAGTCCAGTTAAAAATATTAGGTACCTACTGTGATTAGCATCTACTGGCATCTGCCACTTACTGGTATGAGTAATGCATGATTATTATTCTTGAGATAAGCCAGATCAACAAGTAAGGTAAACTTGATCATTTATTAGAATTGTGTACAGATGGCTTTGGTCATAGATGAGGGAACGATTTGCCACACATGACAAGGTAAGGGAAGTTTGAGAGAGGAGGTGGCCTGGGAGCTGTGTTTGTCAAATATAGAAGATGGAAGCAAAGAAGCAGCATGACACCAGTATGGTCTGGTGTGGTGTGGGGTACGAATGGTGAAGGGATTGGATAAATAGCCAGAGATGCAAGTTATGATAACAATCTGAATACACTCTCAGACCTTCAGTTGTTCAGCCATAGCAACTTCCGGGTACTTAATCTCTCCTCATTTGACATGCTTCCCTGTTCATGCTTTTCCTTTGCAGTGGTATATGTCTCTCTGTAAGATAATGATGTGTATGTGTTTTATATACACAGTAATGATTGGGTTCTACACTGTACGAAAGACTCAAAGAAACCCTTGAGTATTATTATTGCTGCTTGTGGCTATGTATGTATTAGTGAAGTTCTATTCCTTCCTAGTAAGCCCAGAAATTAGATCTTGGAGCCTGAGAGAGATCAATGGCAGTTTTTAACTCACCCAGAGGCTCTTTCTCCATAGGATAAAGACCTGGTGGTCTGTCCTCATAAAAGATTACAGCCTGAAAAATCCTACAGGGGCAGTTCTGCTCCATTACATGGGGTTGTTATGGGTCTAAATTGACTCAGTGGCACCTAACGACAACAACATAATGTTGAAAGAGGACATTGGAGATTCAGCAGTAGAATTCTGACCTTCAATGCAAGAGACTCGGGTTCGATTTCTAGCCAGTGTACCTCAAGCACAGCCACCACCAATCTGTCAGTGGAAGTTCATGTGTTGCTGAACAGGTTTCAGCTTAGCTTCTAGAGTAGGAAGAAAGGCATGGTGTTCTGTGTCTGAAGAAATAGATATGTAAATAAATACTTGATGGGAGAATTGGCTAGAACAACACATTCAAAGGACCAGTGGTGGGAGCTTGTTCAATATGTTTGAAGAATAGCGTGGCCAATGTGGTTAGAGTATGATGTTCAAGGCAGAGAGTGGTAGGAAATAAGATCAGAGGGATAGCCAGGGACCAGATCATGTTTGGACTTACAAATCATGATATTTAAACTATGTTGTTGTTGTTGTTATATCTTCTCTTATATCAAAACATGAACAACTCAGAAGCAAAGTAAGCTCAAAAGTTAAAGGATTTATTCACAATATATCTCTATAAATCACCCATTAAAAGTTTGCTGTGTTTTTATGGTATGACATTCTCATGATGTCTTTTCTTACAAACTTATTCATCCTATACTCAAGTATATAAAGAGAGAATCAAGGTGTCTTGTTATATATAGCTGAGTATAAATGTTACAGTCTCTCTCTTAACCTAAATCTCTCATTTGTATTTAGCACTGTAGTCATTAATTCACCACGCTTTATGAGCTATGTAAGGAGCTTTGGTGATGTAGTGGTTAAAGCATTTGGCTGCTAAATGAAAGGTTGGTGGTTCAAACCCACTGGCTGTTCCACAGAAGAAAGATGAGGCAGTCTGCTTTGGTAAAGATTTACAGCCTTGGAAACTTTGTAGAGGTTGCTGTGAGTCGGAATCAATGCGATGGCAGTGAGTTTGACATACGCACTGTGTGCTCAGTTTGCTTCAAGTCTATGTGGAAATTTGAAAGCATAGTACAAGATTTGTCAGGTTGACCCTTAACTGAGAGAATCTGGGCTTTGTTTCCTTCAAATACATAAATAATACATAAATTTGCATTTGAAACATTGTTAAGTCATGGCTCCCTCACATCTGTTTCTAATGCCTTAGAAAGTAGAAGAAATTTTTGTAGTGAATGGCCACTTACCTTCTTGTCCTTTGTCCAAAGTTTTCTCACCTAGGAACAGACTTTGTTAAGCCAAGTGTTTATTCATTCATTCCTTTCTTCACTCAGTTGTTTCTACTATTACTTCCATTCCTTTTACAACTCTATAACATAAGTATAAATGTAAAAAGAGGCTATTGGATCTAAATTACTCTTATTTGAAAATTTGCATCCATTTTTGTATGATATATAGAGATTATCTTAAAGTAGTAATGCGTATTAGGACTGTTTGTCCATCTGTAATTTGTTTTTGTTCTCAGTAGAAACTGCATTAAAGGACACTGAAATTTCTATTAGGCATTTAGGCTTTGTCATACAAATAATGTGAAACATTGCAAAGCAAGAATGTGAATTCTTTTGACCTGTTGAATATATCTATGACATCACATCACAGAGGCAAAATCCACCAGGGTTTTCTTAAGTGAGGCCCTGTACATCTCTTCAGAAGCATATATTTTAGGAATTGAAAGTTCTTTTCACTGACAAAGATAAAAAACATATTATGGTCTTCTTAATTTACAGGATAACAAAAAGATGAAGAAATCTCTAGAGGAAGAACAGAGAGCCCGCAAAGACCTCGAGAAACTTGTGAGAAAAGTTTTAAAGAACATGAATGACCCTGCTTGGGATGAGACCAATCTATAGAGAACATCCTGGGTTCTTTCTCTTGAGACCAAGCTGGGAAGCCTTCTGACCCAAGTCAGTGTTAACATTCAGAGACTGTAAAGCAGGGCTTGTACTGGACAGACACGTTATCTTGCTTTCTGTGTATAGTAAAGATGGAATTTATCATGTGAATAAAAATAATCAAACCATTACTGAAGAATCCAAACATGAGGTATAGAGACTGAGGATCCTGAACTGCATTAATTTTACTCTGTTAACATCTAAATTACCTCATTTTGCAATAAGTGTGGTGACTGACTAAAAATCCTTGTTTTTCAGACTTTTAATTGAATATATACAAATATTATATATATGTATTTCTTGTAAATATTCGATTTTGAATGCACATCCATGGTTGCTATAACTGAGCTAACACCCATGCTAGAATTTCGTATTTGCTAATCTCTCTGGTCACACGCGTTAGAAGCTGTCTCCATATGCACTCATCTGAAAATGGAGGCATTGAAAGTACCTAGATGCTTTTGGTAGATGACTGATTTGTTCTACACCACCATAGTCTCCAAAGTGCTACAAAAATACTTTCCATTTCAGTATACTTAAGTAATTTAACCTTATTTATATCAGCACAATTAATTTAATACCATCTGAAAGTCTTCTCTTAAAACAGTATTATAGTCACAAACATGCATTGGTTTGAGTGCAACAGTCTTTGGCTAAATAAATGAAGAGCCTGAGACTCAAACGTTTGAGGAAATAACATATTCCACCAGTGTGTCCAAGTAACGACATATACTGTTGTCTGTTTTGTCTCCATACTGTGATTATCAGAGTTTATCCACTGCATTCTGGGAAATCATATAGACTTTTAATATAGGCTAATTTAATAACTTGACAAAGTGCACTGTTTTGTTCTCCCCACAAAAGAAATATGTTAACAAGAACCTGTAAATAAAATATATTATTTATTGTCTATCCCTACAGCCAACGAAAATGAGTCAAGGCAATACTGTGAGCTAACATTGATGGGTAGGATTTATTTGTCAGGTAAATTTTAAACTCTCATATCTGTTTTATCATCAGGGTGCAGCAAACATTACTTTAGTACTCTCTGGGAAAAATAAATTTTTCCCTGTTTCAGCAAGACTAAAAGCAATACACATTTTTTAAGTTTAATATAAATAGTACATGTTACGATGTGAAAACATTTTTCTCCACTGTGTACAAATGGCTAAGAAGATGGAGGAAGGATAATCTGTCCTCACCCTAGCTTTGCTGATCCTCTCTGGGAGTCGCAGTCTGGCCTTAGAAAGTCTCACCAGCCCCTGAGAGAGAAGGAAGCACTGCCCATAGATGCCCGGCTTTTTGTAACTGTGATGATAGGAACTGTTTCCTGTTTCACACAGATCGTTTCCCTCTTTTCTGAAGAGGTTGGTTTTTAAGTGAGAGAAACTTTTTCACAGAGCAAGTGTTACATCTTTAAAAACCAAAACTCCAGCACTGTGCATTAGAGACTTCTCAGAAAAACCATATGGCATCAGATGTGACTTTTTTGTGATTTGAGATCTATTAGTAAAGTTGCCCTTTAATTGCACCTGAATCCTTTGTTTATTGATATCTTTGAACTGGGGCAACTTTGAAATAATTTGCTTTCTGCTTGTTTCTAACTCTTCTCCCACCTCCTTGCTAATTAAAATGTCAGTCCCTAATCTTTAAACTTAGTGGGCGATTCCCTGAGTGAGCTCCTTGCCCATCTTCTTGCTCAGAAACTTTGTGTACAGTGTTTCTTTGTGGCATAGCTATAGCCATGGACTTTACAGATGCTTTAAAAACCAGTCATCAGTTTGCCTTTTAATTAGAATTGCCAGTTTCCTGTACTTAACATCTTACTCATTCATGCTAAGACTGGGTCAGATCAGGTCTTTTTATTTTTTTTAAGTTGTATTTTTACAACTATCTTGCTCTTTGGTCATGCATAATACATTGCAGTGGAAAACAAATTAGAGTGTATTGAAGTTTACTGTTAAGCAAATTTTAACTCAGGAACAACTTTAATCATCTGATTTCTCCATCACTGTAAAAGGTGATGTTGCTGTGTGGCTCTGGTGAAAGACTTAGCATCTATCTGTCCTCTCTGAACAATTAATGCTGTCAGCATATCCCCAGATGGATCTCTTACAGAACATGCCTTAATTATTAGATTGAAGTATTTAATGAGAATACTTACGTTTTTAATGTCCCTTCCCCTCTGAATAGGGGATGGCTGTTGAGATCCTTGTGTTAATGCATTGCATTTTCTTTCTGTGAATCCAATATTTTATTAGGCTTTTTAGGGAGCAGAGAAAATGCATCTTAGAACAGTTCTTTTTAAAAATTTGCCCTATTGTATATAGACTGTATACATTTCACAGTGTGACCTTCTGAGGGGTTGGGAATTTGATATAAACATTATAAAGGGGCACTGTCTGTTTAACCTTTTAAAGGGTTACTTCTTTGCTCTCACCTTTAATGGATGAGATGAAGCCATTTCTTATCCTGTAGATGTGAAGCACTTTCAGTTCTAAACTATGTTGAAATGTAGCATCTGAAACTCTTTACATTGTACGTAATGGTGTATGTGCTTGTCTCCCATGCATCATGAGGTCCTGCACATTAAACAACTGCCTTTGTTTGTATAGACTTTCTTAATGCCAATCATTTCTTTAGGAAATCTAGAATATCCATTTACAACAACTGTGGAGAACCTTTTAATTTAAATGTCACAGACAACGTCCTGATATTGACTACTACAATGTTTATGCTATTTGTTGTAATTATTAAACTGATTAT